TGACACAGGGCTTTCCCAGGGTGACAGGCAGGAGACATGGGAGGACATCATCAGCAAAGCCAGTTTGGGGTTTTAAGCCTGACACAGACGAGTGAAGAAGCAGCATGAGGCCTGAAGGGGCAGAGCCTTCTCTCCAAGTCTGGAAACGGTGATGGACTAGCGTAGAATCAGGTTTACCCCTGTGATTTGCATCACAGCCTCAGAAAGCTTCAGAGTAACGTCAAACTAGGAAAACATTTCATTCCTTTGAATAGGTATTCAGTTGGTTCTCCTGTTTTAAACTTTCGTTTGAAAACCTCAACACCCTTGAATAAAAACGTGAAGATTCTAAGACCTTCTGGCTCTGCCTCTGAGGTGGGGTCCTCATACAGTCACCTTGCGCCACCTCACCAGCTACAGAGAGGTCTAACCATTGGGACCATTTGTCTTCAACCTTAGCCTGAGCTCTGCTCTGTCGTGTGTGCCCCCCACCGCCCCCACCATCCTTCACACGGTAGTCAGAATCCACTGCCCTCAAATCCAATGTGATGTGTCTTTTGATTTCTTGCCTGCTGTCCCTCCACTGGGTGTCTGAGGCTGTAAATCTTAATGGGAACAGAATGCCTCACTTCTTTCGGGAGCAGCCTGTGGCTTTAAGCCACAGGGAACTCACCGTGCCGCTGACCCGCTGCTGTGGAGTCGATTCTGACTCAGCGCCCCTCCAGCAGGATCTGAGGCTGTAAATCTTGACCAGAGGAAACTGCCCATTTTTCTCCCTGCAGAGCAGCTAGCAGATTTGAGCCTCTGATCTTCAGGTAACATACCAGAGACCTGCAGAACCTAGATTGCCAGGATGAAGTAAATCCTGATGCCATCTTCCGAGCACAGCCTAGCAGTGCCCTGGCCCTGTGGGTGCGTGGCACTTGTGCTGCTTTATCTCTTCATGCAGGTCAGGTTCAGAGGCAGAGCCCTTCTCTCAATTCCCTGCCCAAGGTACTGCCCGCCGTAGTTGACGTTAGCGCATTTAATCCCTGGCTTGTACAATCGATTCACTCAATGAATGGGTCACTCCAACCGCTTTCTGCTTTTAAGTCACTGTAGGTTCACAGAACACCTTGACATACAAAGAGGTCCCCAACACAAAGGTACTGTCACCACAAGACCCCCACACCCTACCCAGTCTCCAACCCCTGCCAAGCAATACCCTGTTCTCCACTTTAATTTCCATCCATGTTTTTGGTCGTACAGAATTCTGTGCTATTAAATGTCAGTCATCACACTGTAGAGAAGACTGTTGGTCCGGGAAATTTGTTTCAACTGTTTTTGTGTGAACTGTATTCTGTCATGTTGAAATGAACCCAAAGATGACCCTGCAGTGGATTTCCAGAGGCAGGAAATCGCAGGGGAGACTCCCCATTCCTTCCTCTGCTGAGGTTGAACAGCTAGTCTTTGAGATTGCAGTGCAATTTCTTACCACTAGGCCACCAGAGCTCTTGGTCAGGAGTGTAGCAACCCTAATTTTCCTCTCCAAACAGCATGGGGAAGGGGCACTTGCACTTCGCTGTCTATATGTGATGCTTGGAATGACAGCAGCCACCTTGGGGATTCCAGGCGATTCCCCTCATCTTGTCTGAAAAGTCTGGATGGGTGTTGCTCTAGCACATTATGCCTTTTCTTCATTGCACCTACCACTCCTTTGTTATTTATTCCTGTTTAAATGTTTGTTTCAAGACCGTGACCCCAATCTCAAAACTTCCGTACTCATGCTGTGAAGAGATGAACGAGGGCTGGGGATATTCTGTCGAGAGATTATCTGTTGTGAAGGCAGGCACAGCGCAGATGTGGCATTACAGGAGGAGGATCCCGATGCTCAGAGCAGAGCAAAGAGCAAGACGCGGTCATGCCTGTCAGCACGCTCTGCTGCACGCAGCACGCGGTCAATGAAGAGACCACACCATCAGACCCGGGGAGGGGAGCTTCCAGCAAGGGCACTCCCGACAGCAGCTCTCCGGCCGAGCTAGCTCGTCTCAGGCTTGAACCTAGAACCTCAAGGTTGCCGCTTCAACTCTAGGCATCACATGCAAACTGCAGCAGTCAGATGTCCCTGTATTTCTCCCCGGGGGGGGGGGTGGAGAACCCCCTATTTTAGCTTTCTAGCAGCCTGCCCCTCTCCTTGCTGGCTAGACGCTCTCCGTAGCCATGGGGAAGATGAGAGACTACGCTCGGTCACAGCCCCAGGATGTGTGGAACCGGAGCGTACCATCCTGAGACCTACCCTGCATCCTGGTCCCTGGCCACAGGCATCACCGGCTGGCCACACCTGGTTCCCCAGGGCTAGGAGACAGTGGCACTTTCCTCAAGGACTCCTCCATCCTCTCTCAGATTCACAGCAGCAACACATGGCACCTTTATTATGGTTCACCCAGGCCACAGCTATTGACTCCAGCGTTTACCTGAAGAGTCTAGATGCTAGGTCTGCCATCTCCCATCATGTAATTCCAGGGGAAAATAGTGAACCACCCTGACCCCCCTGCTCAGAGGCTCAAGCAGCACTGTATGGCTTCCCTGAGGCCCAGAAATGGATGCAGCTGGCTTTTAGTGTCACGAGGTGAGGCTCCCAGAACACGAGTGAAGGGTGGGGCTAAACACGTCCAGGCCAAGAGAGGGCACAGGGCCCATTCCAGCAGGCCCATCGTAGTACTTTAGGGTGACACTGGCTCAGGGTAGTGGCAGCAGGCTCCTCACTGGTCCTTCTCATCCTGGGACAAAGGGAGGTGCCAGTCCGCAGGAGGGCTCCGCCGCAGGGCCCACACCAGCGTGTGCTTCTGTGCCGCCTGGACCCGGGTCCGCTCGCTCTCACAAAGGGACCGCTGTGGAAACAAGACCCAAGTGACTTCCCCTCTCGTGGCTTGGCCTCTGTGGCTCGAGGGCTATATTGTGCCCCCCCTCCCCATCTCCTCAACACCCTCCCGGGTAGATGGAGAAAGCGGAGCGTAGGTGGCCTGTCTTGAAATTGGTTGCTTCCACATGATCTATCTCCAGACTGTCCTATCTGCTGCAGACACTTCTCCATTCCACCAGGCAAAAATCACTCCCGCCGTTGGCTTAGTGGGTAAGGAGGTGCGCTTCCAACCCAAAGACATGAGATTCTAATCCACTAGCTGCTCCATGGGAGAGATGGGAAGTCTGCTCCCATATGAGCTGTAATTCGGCTCTGACTTGATGGTACATAAACCCGCCACCACTCCTTCTAACCAGCTTATCTGAACCTGGGTTTTCTTTTTTTAATGAACTGTCCTTTGTCAATTTTTCTATTATTTGGAAATCATGCCCATTTTTCTTATTGATCCTTTAGCAGCTCTTCCTTTACTTCAAGTTCTCAGTCTCTTGCCGTCTTTCCCAGTTTTGATGTTCGCTTATCCTGAGTCAAGCGTTTCTTGCTACACAGCACCTTGGTTTTGACACTCAGCTTGTCAATTCCAAAATAATCACATAAGCTTGGAAAGGGACATGTTAGGAAAGGTGAAAGATGAACGAAAGAGAGGGAGACCCTCAACCAGATGGACTGACACAGTGACCGTAGCAATGAGCTCTTGTCTGTCAGCGCTGATGAGGACGGCACAGGATAGGCCAGATTTGTTGTTCAAAAATCACTATGAATTGTCCTCAATTGGACCCTACATAACCAAACCAGAGCAGTCCCAGTTCTTCTGTCTCCCTGTCCCCCTAAGCGCAACCCCTAAGCACTATATCCTAGATGCTCCTCTCCAACCACACTCCCAACCACCAGCCCAAGGCACTCAGAGCATGGATGCCAGACGGGCAGGGACTCTTCTCTTCACACTTGTAACCCCGAGATCGCTGGCAGGAAGGAAGCTGTGATAAAAGGTGCTCTGGTGGCCCAGAGGTTAGAAGCTGTAGTGCCAACCCAAAGACATGCGGTTCAAATCCATCAGCTGCTCCAAGGGAGAAAGATGGGCATTGCCCTCCTGTGTGACTTACAGCCTCTGAAAACCTGGCAGAGAGGGTCAGCTATGTGACAGCACGTAACAACAAGCTGTGAGAAATATCTACTGAAAGAATCGGCTGCTAGACCCACTTCCTTACTGCACTCTGTGTCCCTACACCGTGCACACCATGCTTTCAGCACACTTTCAAAGCAGAACCTTAATGCCTCGTCAAGGCTCACTAGGTCCTTGGTCCTTCTTCGACCTCCTCTGATCATCTACAGCCCATTCTCCCTCTGCTCCACACACCAAGGTCTTCCTTCTCTCCCTCAGTCGTGTCTCCTCCGCTTAAGGCTGGGTGAAGGTTGATTCCAAGTCATTTTAGAACTAGGAGCCACCATTTCCTCCGCAGCTGATGACACTTGAAGAGGGCTCCTCCTCCCTCTCCAAGTCACTCTACACAACCCCTCCTGTTATGTCGCAAAGTCCCTCCATGTTAGCAGGTGGAGACATTTTGCTGTTGTTTTTATGGATTTTGGAGTCCCAATCAATTCATAGCTGACTCTCCAGTGGGTTTTCAGAGGTAATAAACAGCACGGGAGATCATCCAGTTGTCTCCCACAGTGGATTAGAACTGTATTAAGTTGGCAGCGCAACTCATTAGCCCTAAACCATTAGGGCTCCCTACTTTGACAATGACTTTGCCTTTGAGCTGTGGTGCTGGAGAAGAGTACTGAGGGTACCATGGACTGCTAGGAAAACAAACAGATTCATCCTGGAGAGGGTTAAACCAGTCTGCTCCGTGGAGGTAAGGATTCTAAGGCTCCGTCTAACATACTTAAGACATGTTGTAAGGAGGGACTGATCCTTGGAAAGGGACATCATGCTTGGGAGGGTGGAGGGACAGTGCAAGAGAGGAAGGCCCTCTAGGAGGTGGATTGATTCAGTGTGTCGGAGACATTGAGATTGACACAGGACAGAGCAGAGTTTTGGGCTGTTGTATATAGGGTCGCTATGAGTCGCAAGCGACTCGACGGCACACAACAACAACAAACCATCCCAACTAGTCTTCATACGGTTGGCAAGTTGATCTACCTCTCTTAGGCACTTCTCAACGGCGAAGCTCAAGGAGAGGAAGGACCCGCGTTAGGTGAACCACGTCCCAACAGGGTCCCCAGGGCCTGGAATGCAGGAAAGGCTTGGCACCAGCAAGGTGCACGCCAGATACCCGAGGCCCGCCGCCCCCCGCCCCGGGCTCACGCCCCCCCACCAGGCCTCCCGAGCGCACCTGGGCCTCGGCGCTGCGGCAACCCTCCCACTCGCGGCAGCTGGCCAGGTCGCGGCGCCACTGCTCGCAGGCCGGCCGGCCGCCGTGGGCGTAGTAGTGGTGCAGGCGGTGCCTCGCGCTGCGGCAGAGCTCCCACTCGGCGCGGTAGGCCTCGCAGGGGCGCGGGGGCTGCGGAGAGAAGCAGGGCCTGAGCGGGGCCGGCGACGCCCCCCGCCCCGGAGGCCGCCGGGCTGCCCGACCCCGTCCCGCCCCAACCCCGCCCGGGCCGACGAAGCCAGTGCGAATCCCGGCACAGACCACACTCACCCGCCAGCCGCCGCGGTCCGCCATGTCCGGGCCACGCCACCAAACCCCGCCTCCAAGAGCACTGCCCAATAGAGACGAAGGAAACCCGCGGCGCGAACGACAAAGAACCAATGAGATCATACTGTTTCGGGTGGCTTCCGCAAAGGCACGCGGTTAGAGTACCAGCTGCTGCTCCTCCCATGCGATCATTTCACACAACCACAGTCTGTAGGGATTTGCGCTGTTAACTCAAGGGTTGCACCTCGCTGGAGATTCGAATCCACTAGCTGCTCCCCAGGAGAAAAAATGGGCAATCTCCTCCCATGCAAGGAACTGTCTCCAAGCACCTGCTAGACGGTCAGCTACCGGGTCAGTTCCGACTCAATGGTACACAGCAATCCTTAGGGAGTTGTGCTTTTAACCCAATGATTAACCACTACAGTGGCTCGAAACCTACCAGCACTTTTGCGGGAGAAAAGCCATATATAGCCTCATGGGGAGTCATCTATGAATTGCACCCGATCTTAAGTGTTTCTTTGCACACCTCCTTGAGAGGCGTCAATGAACACACGTGGACTGGGTGGTCAGTATAGGCTGGGGGCCATGGCGCATCCTCACTAGGCTGGGGCCTGGGTGGGGCAGGAGCCAGGTTGTGGTTCTGGGGGAAAGCTAGAAGTTGGGGGGAGGTGATGGGGGTGGCAGCAGGCCGCTCGGTTTGGGGCAGGTGTTCCTGGCTGCACAGGCTGCCATATTTAAGTGAAACTGCACGGCTCAAGCCAGTTTTTTTTTATGCGCTTCACTATTTTCCTAAATGGCAAAGGTGCCATTAATTTTCATAAGCATATTGTTGTTATGTGTTATCAAATAGGAACCAACTCATAGGTGACCCTTCAGTGAGTTTTCAGAGGCTTTAAATTGCATGGCATCAGGATCATGGAAGACTCTTCAGCAACCTGCGTTAAGCAGAAGACATCCTTGCTTGCTGAAAGTGGGGGCACTTCAGTGCTTGCTGAAGATAGAATACTACATCACAGTCTTCAATGTGGATTGTATTTCAACGTCAACAAGAAAAATAGTGGTTGCACCATTTTACACTCCCACAAACAGTGAATAAGGGTTCCAGTCTCTCCACGACCTCGCCAATATTTGTTTGCTGTTCTGTTAAAATTTTGCTGTTCTTACTGGGGTGAGATGATACCTCATAGTTGTTTTGATTTCCATCTCTGAGCGAGAGATTTGGAACATTTCTTTATGTGTTTGTTTGCCACCTGAATGTCTTCGCTTTTCATATCCTGTGTCCATTTTGGAATTGGGTTGTTTACCTTTATCTTGTTGTGGAGTATTCTAAAAATCTAGATATAAATCCCTTATCCAACATGTCATTACTAAATATATTTTCCCAGTCCGTGGCTTCCCTTTTTACCCTGTTGGAGAAGTTTTTGGATGTGCATAGGGATTTGATTCTTAGAAATCCCTTTCATCTCTTTTATCCTCTCCTGGTTGTAAGTTTTTTAGAGTGCTTGGAAGACTGTTCAAGTTGTAGATTAGTGCTTCTAGGGTTCTTCCCTAGAAAAGCCTTTCTCTAATGAAGTTTATATTCCTTGGTTTTAGTCCTAGGTCCTTGATCCACTTTGAATTGTTTTTTGTGTATGGTGTGAGGTGTGGGTCTTGTTTTGAGTTTTCCGCAGATGGTTTTCCAATTTTGTCAACACCATTTATAAAAAAGGCTGTTGTTTCCCCACTTAACTGATTTTATCTCGTCAAAAATCAGTTGATCGTAGATAGATGGGCTGATTCCTGGGTTCTCAATTCTATTCCACTGATCTGTGTGTCTGTCATTATACTAGTACCATGCTGTCTTGACCACCATGGAAGTGTAAGATTTGAAATCAGGGAGTGAAATGCCTCCTACTTTATCTTTTTAAGGATTGCTTTGCTTATATGGGGTCTCTTTCCATTCCAAATGAAACTGTAGATTGCCTTTTCCATCTCGCTGAAGAATGGAATTGGTATTTGTATTGGGATAGTGTTGAACGTATACATTGCCTTTGGTACGATAGTCATTTTCACAATATTGAGTCTTCTTTTCCATGAGCAAGGGATATTCTTCCATTTCTCCATATCTATTTCTTGTAGTAATGTTTTGTAATTTCCTTTGAATGTCTTTTGCGTATCTAGTTAGATTTACTCCCAAGTATTTAATCTTGTGATTAGCTTATGTGATGGGTATTGTTTTTCTTAGCTCCAGTTCTAGATTCTCTTTGTCACTGAGAGAAATCCAATTGGTTTTTGTATGTTGATCTTGTATCCTGCCATTTGCTGCATTGGTCAACTCCGTTTTCTTGCTGAATATTTAGGGCTTTCTAAGTATACTATCAAATCATCTGCATATAATTTTACCTCCTCTTTTCCAATTTGGATACCTCTCGTTTCCTTCACATGCCTTCTAATACAATATTGGACAGGAGAGGTGATAGTGGGCATCCTTACCTAGTTCCTGTTCTCAAGGGGGATGAATGGTGCAACCACTCTGGAAGGCAGTATGGCACTTTCTCAAAATGTTGGAAATAGAAATAACATTTGATCTAGCAGTTTCACTACTGGGAATATAACCTAAAGAAACCAGAACTGCCACCCAAGCAGATATATGTACACCCATGTTTATTGCTGCTTTGTTCACAACAGCAAAGAGGTGAAAACAGCCTAAGTGCCCATCAACAAACAGAGAAGCTGTGGTATATTCAGACAATGGAATATTATACAGCATTGAAAAACAAGGAACTCATGAAATATTATACAAAATGGTTGACCATAGAGGACATTATGCTGAAATATGTCAGTCACAAAAAGACAAAATATTGTATAATGCCACTGTTATAGGACTGATATGGGGTTTGCGGGGAAACTAAGAGGGGATAAAGTACTTGGCATTGAAACAGACAAGAGAGAGAACTGTATAAAAGAAACATATGATTACATATTATTGGCATGACAACAGTCCATCATAAGAGTTGCAGAGTAAAGTGGTCTGGGGGGAGGGGAACAACTGTGTTAACAATGAAGAACTTTTTTTCCAAAGAAAAAAGCGAACTGGGAGTGGTGGTACAGGGAGGAAAATCTTTAACAATGAATGAATGGAAATGAAAAAAAGACTATGTTCAAATCTGTTAATACCAAATAAAATACATATTCTCAAAAAAATACAAACTTCGATAAAAAAAAGACAATAATCACTGTTGGGTAACATTATGATAGCTGGGGAAAGGACTGAAGTTGTCAATGATTTCATCTTGTTTGGATCCACAATTAACACCTTTGGTACCAGTAGTTAGATCAGGAGCCATATAGCATTGGTCAAGCCCAGTCAGGAACCTTTCCAAAGTGCTGAGGAGCAGTGATGTTAATTTGAAGACTAAGGTCCACCTGAATTAGGCTATGGCTTTTCAGTCACTTGCTGTGCATCTGAGGGTGGGACAATGCATAAGGATGATAGAACAATTAATTGAGGCCTTTTGAATTGTGCTGGAGAATACTGCCTTTCCCATCATGGTCGGCCAGAATAACAAAATATCTTGGAAAAATACAGCAGAATGCTCCTTGGAGACAAGGATGGCCAAGCTTCACCTCATATGCTTTGGGTATGTTGCTAGGTGAGGCTGGTTCCTTGGAGGGCATCATGATTGGAAAGGTGGAAGGCTGGTGAGATTCTCATGAGAAAGATTGACACTGTGGCAGCAGCAATGGGCTCAAGTGTGTCAGTGATGATAGCACACAATAGGACAAGGAACAAATCTGTTGATCTGGTGCTGAGTCGTACTCAACTCGGTGGCATTTAACAACAAACTGCGTAAGAGATTGCCCCATCTTTCTCCAGCGGAGCAGCTGGTAGATTGGAACTGCCTTTAGGTTGCCAGCATAACTCTGTCTGGAACTTGCTAGTTCCTGGACAACAGTGGTCACTCTATTAGGTCCATTCAAGTGTAAGGATGTGGTATTTGGAATACAAAATCAGTGGGGCTGGGTTAGTGTATTAGGGAAACCGAATGACCTGGGGGATATCAGGGCTTGGCACTCTGAGCAAAGCAACAGCCTGGTCCAAGGGATGGAAGCTGCGTCTGGCAGGGAGTGAGAAGCAGCACCTTACAAACTGGGAGAAACTTGAGCATCTAATAGTGTAGACTGTTTTGAGGGCATGAAGAGGTAGAATGTTAACAAATGGGAGATGCAGAGGTGCAAAATGGGTGGGTCTGAATGATCTTCCTACAATGCCTGTAGTGGTTCTCTACCTTCTGAAGAAAGACTAATTTTCTGGGAGCCCACAGAGCAAGGTTTAGGGCTCTCCCTAGGAGTGAGACAAAGTCAGTTCAAGAGAAACCGAGAAAGCTGCAGTTTTACAAAGGGCACACCACTGAGGCAGGTGTTCTACGCTCAGGTGTCCCCACCGTGCACATCCTTAATGCTTCCACCAAAAGGTCCACCGCCTGGGTCTACTCCCTGATCAAAGAGGAGTGTGTCTGCCTGGCTGGGCCCTGGGGCTGCCATCCTGGAGGGGCCATCTTTTCTCCTGAGTGATGGAGAGACCCCATCCAGTGACAGACTTCTTCCTGTAAGCAGGCAAGCCTTGGCACACAGATCACTGCTGGATCTCACTATCCCTCCCCGAGGGGTCAGGAGCTCCCTTTTTTTTTTTTTAGGAGCTCCCTTTTCAGGGCAGGATAGAAAGGGTGACACCTGTAATCAGACCACCTTCTCATTCCTGGGTAGTCCAACTCACTGTATTTCATAATCAAACATTTAGAGGCAGCCCAAGTTCTAGTCATTGTCTGTTTTTATTTGAATTTTTTTTTTATTTCAAATTCTTTTCCAGGAACAGGAGAGATTATAAAATAACTGGATTAACATGCCCAAGGATCTCATGTTTTGGAAAGGGAAGAGCTGGGGCCAAATGAATACTGATCAAAAGTAAAGACAGACTAGCAGAACTATGGATAATTCAGTATATTAAAATCGGGAATGCGGATAACGAAGGCAGGGAAAAAGAATCT